CCCGGTCCGTGACCCAATTCCTCTCGGGCCTTGCGACAGAATCCGCAGATACGTCACGGCCTCGATGTTACGAACCAACAGCGCTCCGTGGTGTATTTCACCGGCTCAGCCGGCTACCCTGTCGGGGTTCAATATCGGGGCGGGCATGCAAAATCTGGACCTGCACAGCCTTACTCTCAGCGACGAGGTATCTGCCATTTATTGTCCGTTTTGTTTAGGAGACGACGAAGAGCATCTGGACGAGAGCGTGATCCTGCGTTGTAACCGGTGCCGGGGATTGGCTCATCTGAGCTGTGTGGAAGAATGGCTGGAGAAGCGCGACGCGGGACCGCACGTGTCCTGTTGTGCCTGGTAAGTTCCAATTAGCCAGCCCCCCGGTGGATTCGGATGCTAACGCAATGTAGCCGAAATGACGGAGCACTGGATGCTCTGCTCCGCTCACCGAGAGCGAGGGCGAATCCTGACCCAGCAAGTGAAGATGCGGAAACACACGCAGCTCTAGTGGTGGAACGTTCGGATACCACCGATAGCCCTCACCAGTCGAGTTTAGATCGTCTACCGGTGCAGTCAGTGTCATCGCCCCGCAGACGAGCACCCCCTACTACAACACGCAGTGTCCGTCGGTCGGCCCGCCTGGCAGAGAACAATACACCTCGCCGGTCGCCGCGTCTGAACTGAACTTGAATGCAAGGTTGCACCGACGCGAGCAATTGTCAGATGGATAGAATGTCGGAGGGAGACTGTACATCAGATGCAACAATGCGGGATATTACATGCCCCGGGCACTTGCTAGATGACTATTTAGTCATATCTTGGTCGTATTTCGGAGTCGTTGAAAGATGTGGCCCGTAACACATCTCAACAATTACCCTCACTTGTCCATCGTGGATGGGAATCTAGACGGGTTGGACGTTTGATCGCACTCAAGATAAGACGACTATACGACATCGGCCCAATTTCAGGCGCCTAGGTGCACATGGAATGTTAGCATAAAATGTGTCTGGTTCCAGATCATGATCATACCGCTTGGCTTCCTGTAACGCATAGCTTGCCCGCATTCTACCTTCCTATCAGATCATGATATGTCGCAGAGCGAAGCTACTCTCCGAATGGTTTACTGGGAAATACCCCCCACACTCTCATACGACCCCGGCGATAGTCGATCAGACGGCACCCCATAAAAAGCTCGATCTTCATTCAGCGCGATCATGGCATAATATGTCGATGTGTGCGACAGACCGTCAAAGAGGCACATTCGGTGTGTCTGACGAGCGAACTGCTGGCGGCAACCACAGGGCACCACGTTGTTGGGGAAGCTATAGAACCACTTTAGCTGCTGGCACCTAGAAGGCCGATGACCACTTACCTGCTTTATCATGGGGAAGTGCCGTTCTGCCACTTGCGCAAATTCCCGCATGTAGCATAACATGATTAGTCCGGGCCGGTCGGGCCGAGCGTGCAAAATGCTTCCGTCTCATTGACATCATGGCTGACCAGAATGCCTCCCGGGCGTGCCTTCAACTTGGTGCTGTGCGGCAGGTATCGCAGTCGCCGTCCAATTTATGGCACGGGCGGGACGTAGACCCAATAGGGAAGAATCCGAGATTCGCCCGTCCAGATTTTGATTAGCGTGGGGTTTGGATGGTTGCAGGGGGCCCATGGGTGGGAAGACGTCGAGATCCTTTCGTTGATGTAGTGTGTCTAACGTCGTAGGAGGGTCGCGTTGCGGCAGGCGAGCGTCACCGGTCAATAGCCGGATACTCCTTGTTGCAGTTCAGACGTCGTACGCCTATGCCTAGCAGGCATCGTCAACGTACTTGTTGGCGGGGGCAGTGTCCACATGCGGTAGTTCTTGCATGATTAGGCCAGGTGGCCGAACCATTGAGAGCAAAAGCACGCCTTATGCTCCATTGCAGTACTCAAAACTCCCAATGCACCCCTTCCTGACCTAATAACGCCGATATCGTGATCCATGTTGCCTCGGCTGAATCGAACCAACTGTTCAAACCCCGAATTCCTAGGTATTTTATCCCTCTTTTCAACCATGCGCCCTTTCCTGTAGTTCGTTCGCGTCGATGATCTTCTCGATGAATTGCGCCTGAACATCCAGGCCAAAGGTCTTCGGCTACCGTGAATGACGATGCCAAAATGTGTTTGACCGTTTTTGTGTTGATATCCAATTCATGTAACGACTCGTGTTGATGCGGGTTCAGCCGACCTGAGTATTCGAACAGGAAGCCATACTGGGGGCTTTGTGGTGCCAATGTGGGCCGCCTGTACGCCCTGCGTAGCGGTCGTGTTTGATGGCCGGTTCGGAGGTGCGTATTTGCTGTGCTGGCTGAAAGCATTTTCATCGTTGTCTTCATTGTTATGGGGATCGACAAAGGAGGGTTGGGAGCTAATTCGACCGCAGTTGTGGTCTCTGTCGAATCGCTGGTGATTCACCAGACCGAGGTTTGCGGAGCTGGGTACTACGATGGCACATGGTCGCGGGGGAGAAGCCGTAGCTAGTCTGTCAATCTGCGCCCGAAGCATTCGCGCTTCCTTTTCACTTCATCTTTGACCGCTTTGAGGCGTAGTAATCACGTTGTCTCCCAGGGGGTGTGCTTTCGTGGATTCAATGACTCGGGTTTGCTTGGTGTTGTTGATGAGCTGTCGCAGCTCGTTGGTGGTGGCCCTCTGTTGTCTCCAGTGGTCAGAAGCGGAGGGCTGTGATGTGCAGTGGTGATGATTTCGTCACCATGGCGCGGGCACCTTCTCTTGCGACCGATATGAAAAACGATCGATGGTTTGAAGTTGCTCACCGAAGGGTTTGTCGGCACATTGTTGTCGTTTGTGGGGGGGCTTGGGATCGGTGGTGGATCCACCATTAGTCCACGCTGGTGCTAGGTAGACAATTCTCGACAAATTCTGTGATGGACGACCACGCCTCTGAATTGAAGACAGCCATATTCCTCGATTTCCCTAATTACAATTAGTCAGTTTACATGTGGTAGGCTTTCATATGGTGTTTTGTATGGTTTCAAACAATTCACAAATGATGGCGATCTCCGTCCACATTCTCTCGTTCAACTGGTTGCAAGGTTCGCAGGTGGTCAGGCACCCAAGAATATGTTGAAGGTTTCGGTTTTGACACGAGCTTTCACGGTGGCGATCAAACGCTTGGTATGTCATATTGGGGCTTGCTGTGATGACTCGCTGCCAGTGGTTATTGTCGAGGAACCCGGATGTCTTGTCATTGAGGTTGAACAGTCACGGGACAACGCAAGACTTGAACAGGACCGACTGTCAAGAGAAGGAGGGTATAGTATGTACCTCGCACGGGGTAGTCTCAGGCACTACGTGACCCACATGTATTAACGACGTGCTATGCCTTTGTCAGTCCAGTGGAAGTACCAGAGGTTGATTAATAGGGAAGAACTTATTAGGGGACCGCTGGTAGTGTCTGGAACTTTCTAGTCCAGTCCCGTTTGGTAGAGGCTGAGCTTCTGGTTCTAACGAAAGCTTCGTCGCGCTTGGAAGAGTCATGCAGTGAGCTAGAAGAGCAAAAAGACTATGCGTAGAAGGGGGTATTTATAGACTTGTCGGCCTGTCTTGTCGCGTGCTTTGTGCGACACCAGCGCGCCTGCTATTAGGAGTAGCAACCGTCGAAATATAATCGTCAGTGCAGCTGCCCAAATCTGAGGGCCGCTGGAAAAATGTTTCAACTTCCACTTATTTGAGCCACAGTTGGAATGCCAATTTAAGTTGGTCGCCAGTTTATGTGATGTTGAGTCTGCGGATCAGAAAAAGTTGACAGATGAACATGCATTCAACGGGGGTTCCATATTAGGACCTTGAGGTGGCTGTTCAACCATCATCAATAAGATGCTTAATCTTCGGCGTTTACCTATTCTTTCTGTTCAAGTTTCAACCCGGACTCAACGATCAGTCCAATACTTTGCGAGTCACACCGGCCCAACTTCCAATACACGGACGGCCATCGTCGGTGGTATGAACGTTGAAACTGGTGAACGGTGACTAGCGTCTTCAGTCTATGACTCAGTGTGGTGGGCTAACAACTAACATCTGAGGATGTACTCCATCTCGTCAAGGGCTTAATCCTGAATGCAGGAATGCAGCGGAGCTTTCTCACTGCGGGTTCATGAGGTTGCAAACAATTTATATCGGGTACAAAGTTACAAATATGATCTCCAACGTTGAGCTGCACTGGCAGCATTCGAGCATCCTTAAAGTCATCGTTGTAACAGTCAAAGCCTGTTAGACCTTCTGAGACACACATTAAGCTGGCTCCGTAGCCAGTCTCGTTGAATGCTCAACAAATCCGCAGAGTTGAATGTCAAAGAGATCTTCTGCGTACGGCAGGCCCCCAGCCACGTCTCGCCTGAGCCTCCTGCCTTGCCCTCGATCACGAGGAACAATTCATTGCGGACAAAACCAAAGCGCATGAGTGCAGACAGCGACGGAAGCGCTGATAAACAGCGAAAGCAGATTACGAGTCAAACTCCTTGGTTCTCGGGGTAAATTTGCTTCTATGCCCCACCGTGGTGTTCCTGGGGTGTCATGGAGGGATCCTGGAAACTATTATTAGTACTCCCAGGGATGTGCTGTTACGTGGCTAGGATCTTGCACAGCTGTGTCCATCTGAACCATTGAGGAACTTGGATCCATAACACCGTTAGAAGAACCACGAACTCATTGACGGACAATATAAATTCGTGATGCGTCTGTTTTCGCATCCTCTCCTCGGCTACGCACATTTCCACCCAATATCGAAAGGGTTACCTAGGCGCTCTCGAAATCGGAAATCCTTAATCTTGGGGGATCTATTTACCGCATATAAATCTCTACCAACAGCATTTTGGTCGCCAATTGCAGAGGTGATCCCTGTCTCATATTGTCGACAGGGGAGTAAGCACGTTTACCTGACTTATTGTTCCCACGCCTTGGGATTATTACCGCCACCGGTTTTACTGGTTCACTTAATCTCTCCGTCAACGATGCCTCCACGCCGCCGATCCTGCTTACCGTGCCACATTTCAAAGCAACGATGCAGTCGCGAAGTGCCTTCTTGCCAGTCTTGCGTTGCGCAGGGTAAGTCCGAGTCCTGTGTTTATGAAGACACGAGTTCTCCAGACCGTGATCATTTGCAGCCACGACGAGCCAAGCGACGGGACCAGCGCAAATCCGCCTTGAAAGGTCATCAGATGCAATCCCCAGAGCCGCCCAACAATGGGACAACAGTCCTACAAGATTGCGGTCAACCTGCCATCCAGCATCGAGGCGAAGAACAAGCTCCCCGCGTCCATCAAGCATCTTTTGTGCAGGGCACTAAATCCCGTAAATTATTCACAGAAGAACGCTTCTTCAAAGGGACCTATGGGAAAGTGAACAACGCCCTACACACAACCGCCAATGACTGTCTCCCTTCTACGACCCTATCCGAGAACGTCTTGTGCCAATCAAAATTTTGTTGGACGTTAGCATACTTTGAGATGCCCGTCCCGGTAGAGTTTGGCCTACGGTACAGGTGTGTTGGAACCCAGAGCTGACGATTGAACAGGCTACCTTGCCATTATCATACCAAATCCAAGGCCCAACTTCATGCTTTGTTGCAGCTGAGAAGAAGCCGCATACGATTCACCAACTCCTGCTTGTACTGAGCTACCTCTTCATTTCTGCGATGCTTCCCGAGGATGAAGGGGCATTGTGGCGTATCATCTATCGGAACGGAAACGACTGGGAAGAAGGGTTTGTTTTACAATATGATGGACTACTGTCATGGTTCATCCGCGCACGCGAGGCTTTAACCAGATCTGAAGCCCTCCACAGCATGTCTCTGGAAGATTTGGAGCTCCAGATTAGGTACATCCTGTTCATTCTAGGACAGCATGCATCGTGTCATTTAGCTTCCTTCACACATTCTATCAGCGACCACTTCCTCCATACCGGCCTTTTGGAACCAAAGTAAGTGTCGCGCTGATTTGCCACGCCTTTATGGGAATCCAAGCCACAGACATGGACGGATATGAGTCCAAGGAGATCTGGTTATGTGGCGAAGAATTTCTTTCCACGATGGCTTTCCGACTCAAAAGATCGCCGCTTTTTCAAGCCGGGATCTCACTACACCAACTACAATCGATGATCCTGAGCCTTCAAAGAGCCTTCCGGCTCGAGGAAGTCCGTGTTGCCTCAACAAAGCCGCAGAAAATTTTCATTAGAAGTGATTCAGACCGGATGGAGTATTATCGACGAGCATTTTTATCGTTGAACCCAATGCTGTTACCGAAGATCTTGACATCCGCACTGGGGATAGCGCCGATGGTTAATTTGAGTATAGACTGCCTGGCTGCTCTCCTTGCAGAGATCTTCCACGAGGCGTACCCGATGAACGATTTGGAGGCCGCTTTCAAAAAGGTTCCTGAGATTCTACTGTCAAAGCCCGATCGGATCGTGGCTACGGAAATGTTTCACGTCAAAGCATTCGAGCAAGCATGCCAGATTGACAAGCTTGGTGAGTACCCACCACGCAGGACAAGCAGAAACGAAACTGACGGCGATGGTGACCACAGACGATAGATCGCACATCTTTGTTTTCCATGTCTCACTCGAGACGGACGCGTGAAAATAACTGTCCATTTGGCTCACTTACTGGAGTCTCGCATGTCGGTATTGACCAACAAACGTTTGTCCATTGTTGATGGGTGAGAAACGGATGCTCAACGCTGACGGTGGGGCTTACCTTGTGCAAGGCGATGCAATAGGTGTCGTGAATGGCGTTTGACCCCTCCTTTCCTGGTGCAACCCAACCTTCAAACAACGTCGTTGCACACCATTTTCTGAATACATTGTTGGCACGTCACTGGTGACTAACTGAGGATGCATAACTCCGGTCGCATATGCGATTTGGTTCTTGAAAAAGGTTGCTTAGAGTCTTTGCGAATGGGCCATCAGAAAGAAGATTTCTAGACTCCTTCTCCCCATTGGTTGGCCTGTCTACCAATCATTAAGGATCACACGCCCATCTTAATCCCTCCTTCCAAGTACAAATCGTAAAGTGGATAAGTGTGCCAACCATGTATACTGTAAAACTAACATGCATCTTGGACCGTTCCAGTAACAGCATAAGCCCCAAAAAACGAGAATCTTTGGCCCTTTTTGTAACAGCACTGGGTTCAAGTGATTATTGCCCTTTCGATTCTGAGGGATAAGAAAGACAGGATGCTTACTAGTGAGTCTCCCATATAGAAGGGTCAAGCCAGATGACACGTACCTAGTGTTGGTCAACGAAACAAACAATAAGACCTTTAAAAATTGTTGAAATATCTCGATTTTGACCGGGTGACGGTAAAAACAGTAACTTGACTGGGGATTATCATTTCTTTGCGGGTAGTCTAGAAGGGAGCCGAGTGCCATCGCCGAATTCTAGTTTCTTACAGCTAATTACATTGCTGATAAACAGGGCTCTCTTCAGCCAAATTCAGCTGAGAGCCCTCGAAAGGGGCAAGTTGTCTGAAGAATAAATTTTGTGTGCCTGGAAGATTAAGCTGTTTCAATAACTTCTGTACTCCCCATGACCCTTTGAAAACAGCACGCCTCCCAGCTTAGCCAAGAAACTACAGAACCAGTAAACCGGTCCAGGGGATTGCCCTGGCTTGTTTTAATACACGTGCAGTCACCATACTTCAATTGTTCGATTAGACTACAGTTTTCGCAACAGGTACAGTAAAACATTTGAATTTTTCCGAGGCCTGCCACTTGGGGACACGGGAGATGCAGGACATAGCGAGAAATCCGCCGATAATATATATCCACGGTCGCCGGGTGAACTCAGTTCCGAAAGACAAATCGGCGACTCACGCGACAAAGTGGCCCTGATAGGCGAATTTTTCCATATCTAGCAATCCACTGTAGAACTTGAAAAGCTTGAGTTTGAAAGGATCGTGGTCGGTACTGTTGGCGCAACTGAGACTCTGGGGGATGTGGCGTCAAATGGAGTCGGTAGGAGACTTTTGCATGGAATCAAGGACCATGAACTGCTGTCAGCAGTGCATAAGCTACCCTTTTGTAGCGCTTTGTCGATCTTGCAGCTCGCTTCGTCTCCCTCGTCATTATGAAAATAGATTAGACCGATTCGATACACTTCTACCCACGCGGAATGCCCGGAGGAGATACATAAATTGACTTTGACTGTATCGGACTCGGAGTTGGTGTCGTTTCGCGCCGTCATCAGGTCTGAGATTCGTTAGTACAAGCTCTTCATCCAGAATGGCCATCTTACTGGAGCAAGAAGTGCCATTTAGAGGGGCAAATGGCTCTGAGATCCCAGTACAGTCGAAGGTCTCCGTAGAATACACGAAGCATCGGTCCTCATGGTCTATTATCTGAAGCGTCCCAGCAAGAACCACTGAGATGGGGGTGAAAAATGCCAGTAAGAGGTGCATGTCTAGTTTACTTCAAGAGCTAGAGTACTTGTCCAGTAGGAAAAAGGATTGTACCGTGCGAGAGTTACAGGGCTGCTCGAAATCAGTTTCACCATTTGAACACAGAGATTCTTTCTCGAGGGCCCACTTTACTAAACACTATTCTATATATAGCCAAGTATGGTTTCAAGGAGCTGAATCGTATCGAAAAATATTTTATGAAATACTGGATATGATAAATAACTTGAAATACCATGACCATTAATACAACATGCGTCGTTCCTCGGCGCGCTCGTGTGGCTACACTCCACTTGGTGACAATATTCGACGCGTGTTCTATTCAAGCATTTGTCTTATTAAGCATTGACCCCCAGCGCCTCCATTTCCCAAGCCAGCACATAGAAACATTGCGGTCTTACCAGGGGGCGAAGGCGAGCCCGATCTAACGGCAAGATACAAGACTGTGGAGATAGGTAACCAAACAGGACTAGATTCTCATTTCCTGTTCCTCCTGACAGCGTGGGGTAAGCAACAAATTGTCATGCATTTAAATAGCCACCTAGGTTTTACCAAATTATAAGAGTGATCTCCCTTATCCAGGAGTAGTTGGACAATCTGTTGATGACCTGTTAATCAGGCAGCCTGGAAAGCATTGCCGTATTCGCCGCCCTGCGCGTTGACGTCGGCTCCCTTATCCAAGAGTAGTTTAACAATCTCTTGATGGCCATCATACGAGGCGGCCTGGAGAGCATTGCCGT